TGTTTACATAGTCTATATGCGGTTAAGGAATTCTCCTTGATAACTACTCATTTTAGAGCTTAACAGCAGCCTAAAGACTCTCAGGACAGGCGGCTCCTGAACTCATTCATACTAGGGCATCTTCCTTCAGGGTGAATGGGGAGACACACCTTGAATGTGGACATGTTGCTTCAGGAACTGGGCTAGATAATGGAGTGAGGCACTAATCTGCAGAGTATCTGCTCAGCGGAAATTTTCTGTTTATTACAATGTTTTCACTTCCACAAATGTTTGGCCAACCTGGCGGGTTGTGTTGTCTGACCCCTTTGGAATTACGGCCAAAACTACAGAAATAAGACCTTGGATCTATGACACTGTAATTTCTCTTTAAAGTTGTCCACATCCACTTGCAGCTTGTGGTAGTGTAGGTCTAAAGGAAGGTGATTAGAGGATGTTCTTAGCACAATGTCTTAAATAAGCCTCATAATAATGTCAGAAGAATGTCACCTTCTAGGTGGCTATTTGGGATTCCAACAAGAGGCACGCTGTACCGAAAAGTGTCTGCTGGGACACCCTGTTACACACCGAGGATGAGTTCAGGCCATTTTTGAGTTGTGTACGTGTGCGTGCTCACATCTCTAAGTGCTTAAACATGAGTCTCCTCTTAAAACCCCTTGCACCATATGACTATCCTTGTGTCACACCAGCAGAGACAGAGCAGAGAGGAGCAAAAAGGGGGAGTGAAGCAAAAGAAAGAGAGAGAGGTAGAGACAGAGTGGGTTCTCGAGGGAGCCCCCTTCATTTTCTGGATGCGAGAGGCAGACATTAAGCTACGGTGACTAGCACCACTGGCCTCTGTCTGACCTGCTTCAACTTCCTCTCAGCCCAGACTGAGGCTGATGCGTCATTGTATCAGCGCTGTGCAACGTGGCATGCACCAACAACACAACAACACTCACCGAACAACGTCACGTCGACCCAGAACAATAAAACATAACAGAATACAGCAAAAACATACCAGAATGGCACAGAACAGCAGCGCCTGAGGCATAAAACAAATGCCGGCTTTGTGCAGATGCATGGGGTGCTGTGTACCTGCCTCTGTCCTCCGCCCAGTGTCAGCCCACCAGCTAATTGCAATGGCTTTGCCCCAGAGGCTGCAGGGAGCATTTCTGCCTTGAGAACAATACAACTGAAATGTCAATGACAACAAGTCAGCTGCAAAGGACAAGTGTTTTGTATCATAATTCTATAGCCTACTGTACATGACAGCGGAGAGCAGAGCTGATGGATAACATGCTACCAAAACATAACATACGGTAGCCGGTCATGTTGCTTCTTGAGTGCTGAGAGGAGCATTTAGACAGGAAACAGTTAAAAAAAAAGCTCCCTGGGTGACATTTATGCATAATATTAATGTGGGATTTAAGTTTAGGTAGCAGACTAGGTGAAGAGGATTATGGGAAAAAGTCCTCTGGTAGTCCAACAACACTGCACTGGCATGCATACACATGCTTGTATACACACAGCTGAAGCAACACACCCACACATACAGTTCAGTCCCCCTGGACAAAACACTAAACTCCACCCTCACTGACCAACCTCAGAAAAAACAAGCAAAAAAAAACAAAAACATGAAGTCATATCTACTGACACCAGAGGACGAATGGGGGAAAACAAGATGAGAGTTTCTATGGGGCAAAAAGTAGCAAGTGACGCTACACCCAGAGAAAAAGAGTAAAATTAGCAGAACAGAAAGACATTGATCAAAACCACAGATAAAAGAAGGAGATAAAATGAAATTGTAAAGGGGGAGGAAAAGACAGATTGAAGGATGGAGCTCTGTCCGCCCGGCTAAAAATGAATGGCAATCCTTCGTTTTCTATCGCTGCAGCGATTAATTGACGAATGTGCCACATTAATAATAAAGCTTGCTCTCTCCACTTAGGACATTGATTCACACCTCCTCAGCTTATGGTGTAAGAAACCGATCAATCTCGCTCTGTCTTCATCTCTCTTTCTCTCCTTCTTGAGCTCCTCTATTACCTTGCTAAATATAACTTCCTTACCTCTGTCTTTAGCCAGGAAATGAGTCCAACACTCAATAACTTGCTGTGAATTAAGCAGGCTTGGCGAAGGAGATCTCCAGAAATGATTGATTGATTATTAATTAATTCGCTAATTTCCCTGATTGATCTACAGAGAGTGACTGTCTGAGAAAGACAATATACGGGAGAGGAAAAGAATTTGATTTGGTTTTAACGGGGGTGGGAGTGGGGGGAGAGTGAGAAGGCAGGAGAATCTGTAATGTGCTTCCAATGTGTCCATGTGGCTGTGATATTAGTGATATGATGTAACAACTGGAAGGTAAACCTTATGTTTACATAATGTTGTGGTCTAGAATAGCTAAGACAAAAGATAAGAAGTAAAAAGAGAAGAGAAACGAAGAGAGAGATCCACATCAAATGCTACTGGGAGCAGCACATGCCTGCTTGTCTGTCCGTCAGTCCGTCTGTCTGCTTAGCCTTGAAAATCCCAGCAATCGAAGCCAGACGACCACAGAACTCATGCCCACGCCATACATGCACGCACACAGACACACACATACACACACACACACACACACACACACACACAGAGGCCTGTTCTATCCTACGCTATTGATCTGCACCCCACTCTTCATTAGAAAGAAAGATTCAAAGGCAACAAGGAGCAGTGAGACGTGTTGTGTGTGTGCGTGTGTGTGTGTGTGTGTATGTGTGTGTGTGTGTGTGTGTGTATGTGTGTGTGTGTGTGTGTGTGTGTGTGTGTGTGTGTGTGTCTGCGCGTCTGTGTGTATGTGTTCAGAAGTGTAAATGTATGATCAAGGGAGTTGTGTAAGCTGCATGTGGTTACATCCTGTCTGTGAGTGAGTTTCCGTATAGGATTTTTTTTTTCTTCAGTTCAGTGTGTGTGTTCATGCTTACATGTGTGTGTGTGTGTGTGTGTCTGTGTGTGTGTGTGTGTGTGTGTGTGTATGTGTGTGTGGATGTACTGCCAGGTATCAGTAACAGTGGGAGCAGATCTGTGTTACTCTAATGCAGTCTGTCCTCACTGGGTGTTCCTATGGAAACTCTCTCTCTCTTTCTGTATATTATTAGACATTCTTGAGTCAACTGCTCAGAATAGGAAGACACTGATCTCGTCTATCGCGATACACTCGTTATGAAGCGTTTCGACTCGTGTCTGTTCAACGCGCTTCTTTGAGAATATTTTTGCTTTGGTGATTAGTTGAGATGCAGACTCTTGCACTGGTCGGGGTCACAATTGATTGACTCTTAGGCATCAGATCAGTCACAGTGATTGGACAGCCACTTCTACTGACACAAGCCTGAGGCATGCATTGCAGTAATATTTTTCCCAGCATGCCAAGTTCTTGACAGTACAGCTGACAATACTGAAAATGCTATTTTCTGGGAAGTTTTCTTGCCTTCTTTCCTTTTTTTTTTCAATTTGTGTTTTGTACAATAATAAGATGTGAACATTTTATATAGTGTATACTCTGGGTCAACTGGTATGAGCCAAGTGTAGTACTTTCCAAATTATTGCAAACTTCTATGCCTGCTGTAATTATAATATCTCCCCACTTCATGTTCAATTTTGAAACTACTTCTAAAGCAACAGAGTGTCACAGTATATGCAACTGGTTTCTATGAAATGTGAGTGTTATTAGTTGTTGCAGTGCATCATATATGTTGCGCTCCATATTAGCCTATGACATTGCTCTTCTTCATCCTGGTTCATGAACATTAAATGTTGTCCCCAGGCTTTAGATGAATAAAAGATTGAAACATGTGTTACTGTGCTTTCTTACGTGTATATCTTACTGTAGGGAGTTACTGATGTGGAGAAGCTGCATTAAGTGCTTTTGAAGGTGCAACATTAGACTGAGAAATGTATAATTAAAGAGAGAGTTTTGGTGCTTCTTGTCCCTTGGGGTTATATAAAATAATAAATACATGCATATTCCAAACTTGCAAATCAATGATCAAAACTTCCTTCCTTTATTTTTGTGTTCAGCAAAGTAAAAAACACTGTTAGATAAATTTTGTTGATAAATTCGTTTAAAGTGCGAGGCGAGTGTACGAACACCCTTTATCAGTCATATGACTTTTCATCGCCAGATTTTATTTTTCCTCATTTCATTGAAAATAAATAAGATTTTGGAGTAATACAAATTAAAACAGATGAAGAGATGACTTTTCATAATGACAACATAATTAATCTTGTGTGATCATGTTCAGACCTTGCGTATTAAGGCCTATTTGAATACACATTTATCCTGCTTCCCTCTAATCCTGGAGCCGACACGCTATGTCAAACTCTAAGTATTATGCTTCCTCTAAAATAATGGCCCTTCCTGTTGTTTCAGTTCATTTATTTCATCTGCAGAGTGGAAAATGGAGGCAGACGTGATGAGAAACCAAAGACTTGAGTGTTAGCTGTTAACTGTTAAAGCAGCCAAGGCAAGCGTATAAAAAAATTCAGAGGGTGTTACCTTACCAATCAAACATGTGTCTCCATATTTCACCCCTTTCTCGCTGGAAAATTAGTGCAGTGACAGGAGGATGCGTTTGAGTGTGTGTAGGTGTAATCTTTTTGACAGCAGGGTATGCTCACTGTGACTCGCTGTCTTTGCATACAATAGTTTGATATGATTATATAACCAGGTGTGTATGAGGGAAGAATGGTTTAATACTTGTCTATAGTTTATTTGAGAAGGAACGAGCACAGCCTGTGCAGTGTTGTAGGATTTACTGCAAAAAACAATAATGCTGACAAAAAGTCAAATGTGCAAGACTTGAAGAGAAATATTCACACTTCTGTGGGTTTAAAATTTAAGGGGAATGATCGGGGAATTAGCTTTCAGCTTGCAGTTTAAGTTGAAAAAACGGAAACGATTGAGCTGAAAGCTGCATGAGAAGCATCCCGTCAAGGATGTACAAAGGTGGAGGATGGAACAGTGGAAGCCACAGACTGACCTCTGGAGTGGTAGTCTGCCGCCGTGCTGCTGATGGGCGCTTTCTTTACGGCTGAAGAGCGATAGACGATGTGTGTCCTTCCTCCTCCTCCCTCCTCCTCCTCCTCTTCTATCACTCCATCGCCCCTCTCCACCGGCTCGATAAAAAACTCCTCTTGCTCCGTCTTGATCATACCAGCCTGAAAGAAAGTGTGGAAAATTAATTGGATGACATGAAAATGAGTAGGTGAACTTTGACATCATGTTCACCACCTAACACCCAGCCCCTGCTTTTCCCTACTCCATCCATCCTCCTCTCTTGGTCTGACAGTTTATAGAAAGAAATAGCCCCTTGCTTTACTCCATTGCTGTTTTAGTGGCATGCTGGGAAAAACGAGAAGAGAAAGGGACAGCAGTGATCCCTTACAGCCCTGAAGAGGGTCAGAGTGACACCTGGCATCTAAAATGGCCAACACAAGAGCGAGGAGATGAGACTGTCCCACTCCCATCCTGAACTAACGCATTCTGTCAGGTAATTCCCCCGTCCACCTTACACACACACACACTCACACAAACACACATCAGCCATGCACAAATGCAAGCTCACAGGGAGAGGGGGGTGAGGAGGAAGCCTGAAAGAGATGGAGAGATGGAGAGAAGTAAAGAAGCGTGCATACAGAACACACACGCAAAAAGGAGTTGCGTGCACATACACGGGGAAAACAGGCACTGGGAAAATTGCCCGTCACTCTCTCTTATTCCATCTGTCTGTTTAAGACAACTGGTAATTACCAAGGCAACGCGCTGCTGTAGAGGAAAGCCATGGGGGAGAACACACAGAGAGGATGGTGAGGCTTTGGAGAGGAAGATTGCAAAAGAAAGAGAGTGATAAATGAAGAAGAAAGAGGACATCGATACGATCAGTGCTTCTCCCTTCCACTCTGACAGGAGAAGGAAAGGGATGATGAGCAAGTTGAAGAGAAGAAAGTCAGCTGATGATAAAAAAAAAATACAGTATACATTACAAAAGAACGTGTGATGAAAAGCTGAGTGTGGACTGCACTGCACAGAGTCTTGCAGAAAGACATGGGAGCTGGGAGTCAGAAAACTCAAGCTACAAATGACTGACTGTAATAGTCTGTATAAGTACAGTCATGCTTTCAGCCTCTAGGCATATTTCAGAAATAGAAAACTGTATGTCTGGAGTGCAACATTCAAATCACCATTTAACCTCCTTAACCTATTATACTGAATATTTTGTCATTTTATTTCTACATATTGTATTTCTACTACTGATAATTTATGCCTATTCCTGTGTCCTGGAGGAGGGATCCCTCCTCTGTTCCTCTACTTAAAGGCTTTCCCTTTTTGTGAAAAGTTTTTTCCTCCTCCAAACCAAGTGATTAAAGAGGGTGTTTTATGTTGCTAAGATGGTGAAACCGTCTAAGACCAATTTATGCTATATTTTGGACTACATTAGAGAGGCCAAGAGAGCCCAACACACTGCAGCCTCAGTGAAACACATGACAACAAACAAAACACAAGCCAATTAACAAACACATCCACCAATCTGACAACGTACTGTACGGTATATGCAACATGCAGACACAAGCAAATAGAGAAACACTGCAAATTGTACACAACTGAGCTGAGATGAACACCATATACGATTCTGTGGTAAATTAAAAACTGATGAGTTAATAAATAATTGGTTAAATCAGCTACAATCAATACGTGTATCACATGACTATTTGTATGTTAAACAGAAATGAACCCATGAGAATTAACGCCCACAAATGCAGTTCTCGTCAGCTTTATGTAAAAGGACTTAACGTCCCTCAGTTCGTTGTTTTGGTTTTACGACCTGCAACTTCACTGTTTTGGTTCAGTCTCACTGCTCTCATCAATCTCATTTCCAGACGCAGCAGGAAGCTGTTGTCAACAACAACAACAACAAAAACTCTGATATTCCCACTGTACACGATGTGCACATCATCAAACAGGAGACAGACAGTAAGTTAGTGACTGGGTGCTGAACATAGTGACGCATATGGCAGCTAAAGAGCTAAAAGGAGAGTGACTCCTTACATTTCTTGGGTGGCCAGAATAACAGCTCTACAGGAATGCGGATGTTGTTTGACATATCAACTTAAGGGTGACGATATGTCAGTGCTGTGCTCACAATTTGTTTCTGCTTTGTGGCCAGAAAATCAGTAAGTGCAGGTTAAAAGGCGAACGCTAGATGTATAAACATATCCCAAATACTGTAATCACACAATCAGAATGTTAAAACTAAAATAAACCTTGGCAGCTTATTGGGTCAGTGTATTCATCAGTTTTTATTGTGCTCAGGAAATTTTCACTGTGTTTTATACGACTTGAATTTTAACTTTCAGTTATTGCAGCGCATTTCTTTATGTGTACATGTTGTCCAACTGGTGAATGTGTTTCTTAACTTGTTTGTGCGTTCCTTATTTATGTTTTCTTTTTTAACTGCTACCTATAGTGTCAAACTGTTAATGATGTTTTATCATTTGCTTTTCCATTTGTCTTTTTGCAAGTGTTTTCTGAAGTTCCACTGAGTTGAGATCTCTCAAACACCACGCGTCAAAAATGAAATTGATTTAACGTGAATGTAAGAAAACAGATATACTGCATATACTGTGCATTATTTTTTTTGACTTTATTTCAGGGGCCGACTGTGTGAAGTGCAGTCATGAGAGAAGTCATTTCACTGGCCACGTCTGTATCCATAATGTCTCTATCATCCATGGTAAAGCACCTTGTGTGGAGCCTGAACGTAACAAAAATGAGCGCAGTTTTAATTTATGAAAGCACCCCGGCTATATTTTTTTGTGGATACGAGTATGCATAACTCTTACTGAATCCTTTGAGCGCTAAATAAAATTGAGTTTAAGAACTTGCATGCTCCTTGAATACCCCTGAGAGGCTGATTTGAAAGGAGCTGGATATTAACAAAAGTGGCCCCTCAGAAATAAAAAGGTTTCCTTTTCTTGCTTTTACTCTCGTCCTCTCCCATTCTCCTATCTCTCTCTCCCTGTCAGTCTGAGGCTTTGGTCCCGGAGGGATGTCGACAAGCCACTGACCTGCCCCCTCTCTCTCTCTCTCTCTCTCCTTCTCTCCCTCCTTTTTCTCCCTTTCTCACTCCACCTCTCTCTCTCTCTTCTCATCCCTCCATTTCCCGGAGCCGTGGTGCGGCATTCCGATCGGAGCTGATGGATCCGCGATGGTGCATGCATTCCCACCCCAGAATACCAAGCAGAGGGGAGAGGAGAGCAGTGTCAAAGAAAAAAGATGACATGTGGGACTGGGAGACATGGTTGGATCGATCAGAGCCGGCATAGTGGGGGCGGAGGGTTAGAGAGAGGGGAAGGTGCGAGGGAGCCGAAGAACTGGACACGTCCTTTGAAAAGCCGAAGTGAATAAAGCATCAAAGCGTCTGCACACATTTCCATAGTGAGAAGCATTGTCTTCATCTCCTCTAAAGCAGAAGCGGCCAAGTCCTAGTGGAGGGGATTACAGGGAGGCTTGTCCAAACACTGTGTCCAGAACAAGTGAGAGAAATTCAGATTCATCGGCAGTACACTACCAGCCTTAATGTGCCGACATGAGTTAGGTTATTCAAAGACAGGGTTGAGGGCCACATAGTGATAAGCTGCAGATGAAGATCAAGCACATAGTTGGTAGGGGTGTAATGCAAAGCTTCTAACTGTCTCTGGGTGTGTTTATTTCCTGGATAAACCCAAGACGTAGGAAGGAATTAACAATAGAATTAACAAAATAACATCTTTTGGTGTGTTTTAATAAATCAAGTGAAGAGGGAAAACAATAAATAAAAAATAATTAAATAAAAATAATAAATTACTGCAAAAATTCAAATGATGTTTGAAAGTGTTCTAAATGTACTATTTGTGTTCATATCCGAATAGTGTATTCATGTTAGATTACATCCCTAATCAGGCTCTTAGAGGTGTACAGGTTTAATTAGTTCAATAGGTCTGGTGTATCTTGGCTGAAGGTGATTCCAGACATATCCAGACGTATCCTGTGTTTTCACATGATTGTTCACCTGCTACTACAAGATATGTTAGTCTCCAATCATGAATTCTTCTTCAGGGATTTGCTGTGGCATCAGGTTCCTTGCTAGTTGCTGCTCTCCTACTACAGTAAAGTCATTGTGCTTCTTTGGGTGATGAGCCTGAAAAGGTTTTTATGAGGTTAGATGTGTTAAAATTTAGCATATTATCCCCCACTTTACCCTCGTGAGACATTTAAATCTGACACAGTTGCTCTCTGCATCTTGACGTCACCCACAGTGATTATAAAAGATTTTTACTTCACACACAATATGCGTCACTGCACATCTGGCTGAAAAGGTCATGGCGGAGAATCTTCTCCATTATTCTATTATCTACTTCAGTGTTTCGGGGTTTATGTCTGCTTGCCACCACAACAACGGATCATTTGCACACAGTCAAGGCAACATAGACTGTAAACAACATTGTGATGGAAAAAAAAATACCACCTGTTGGATCGCTTCTTAGTACAGCCATGATCTCTGCATTAAATGCTAATAATGCCAAGGTGATACTTCTAGGAAATTTTGAATGAATTATAGTATAGTATATTATGTCAAAATAATCCACCAACATTTTCACAGTTTTGAAATGAAAAGTGTCCATAGAAAAGTCTGTGCAACTGGGGCAAGTTTTGTGGTTAGAAAAACTTGTGTTTAGATTTTCAAATATTATAGTTCAATACCTTCACTAGTACAAACGAAAATGTATTCACCTCTATTGTATTAGGGTGGTGGCTAGATACCAGTCGGGACTAAGCTCGGAAATAAATTGCCACCATAAGGAATAATGATGTAAATTACATTTGAGTCATTTATCATCAAGATTAAAGCAGGGAAAACATTAGCACATTAGCAACCTGCACCAGCCACACATGCTTACAGCTCAACACATACAACTGGGATAATTACTGTCACAGCCAATGAGATGGTGACACTAACCATAACCCTCCCTCTGAGACCTGAAGCCCCTCGGCAGGCTCCAAATCTGGATCCTACACACTGAGTGTCCAGTTACAACAGGAGGATCCTCTGTGTTTGAAGGCACACCGAGCTCTATTTGAAGATCTGAAAGGAGTAACTCGAGTCCTGGGTAAGTGTCCT